GCTGGCAGGCGGGGGCAGGGCAACTGGTGGACAGGTCAGATCCGGAAACAAAGCAACAGGCCTGAACTAGGAAGGGGCAGGGACATGAGGGCAGAATCGAGGTAATTTGAAGTCTTTTAGACCCCTGTTCTGACAGTACCCAGAGCTTTCCCAAGACTAGAAGCCTCAGTGCAACATCCCATCTTCCCTTAAGGGGAAGAAATCTTTGGCTCTGAGGAACATTTTCTGGCTATAGTAAACAAGCTGTGGGGTTGAAATCATCTAAGAACCTTGAGGGATGGATGCTACTACCTGACTTTCGAACTTCCCAAGTGAAAGCTCAGCAGTCCCAGGTGGATTAGCCTTCCGGGTGGTGCTGGAAGGCTTGAGTGAACAACTCAAGACTGGATTTCTATTAGGTAGTATTTAACAAGCACACACCTTTCCAGCAATGCACATTTTGAAAAGACCAAGGCCAGGTGCATTTTTAACAAGAAAGCAATTTTCCATCATGTCCCAAGCATGCGAGCCAAGGACAACTTCACGTTAGCAGCTCTGGGGGCTGGCTTGCAGTTGGAGCTGCTGTTCCAGTGCCACATCCACCAGAGTTGGCCTTTCTGTTCGGTTCTCAGGATCGAAGGCCACTTCCATAAAACTGACTAGAGGCTGCAGCGTCTCCAGCTAACCACCCCGTGCAGCAGAGCTCGACTTAGAATCACAGAGGTGGGAAGACAAGTTTTCCCTCTCAAGGACAGCGAACTAAGTTGAAATAACTTACTAAATGTTCTGCTACTTCTTAGCCATATGGCTTTGCAGAAGTAATCCTGTTTAAAGCCTAAAAACAAGACAATGCCATCTACCTCACACCCACCCACTTCACACGTTGTTGTGAAGATTCAACAGGATCGTGTGGCAGTGTGCTATCTGGTATTCAGCAGTGAGACCTTTGATTCCACATTCTTAAAGATTAGACGAATGACAATTACCAGGTTTAGAAGTTTATTTTGTAAACAGTCATCCCTATATAAAATAACCCAGTTTCACACAAACATTGCTAGGTTTAGTAGTAATGCATCAGCTGTTACAGGAAAATTGATACAAAGATGTCAAGTACTTAAGACTAACTTCAGCTTTCAAAAGAAAAGGAAACCATTTATTTTGCACAAAAAATAGTGGCCTGATAATTTAGCACATCTATGACTACTGCTTAATTAAAATTTGATTTTCATTGACTCCACAGTTATCACTTAAATGCAAACTTACAATAACCTCAGATGTACAAATGTTTACTGTCAAGTTACAGAATGGAACGGTGTGATAGTTCTCTAGGTGAGACTAGTTAATCCATGACTGAATGCAGAACACACTAAATGTGTGAGAAAAAAGACCTGCCCAGAGGCTCATGGGCTGGCAGAGGGGTGCTGGGGGGGGGTGGTTGGGAAACATCTGGGTCTCATTCACAGAGCACTGTGTAAGGAGTCAGAAATTCACAACCAAAACTTTTGCACTGAATTCATGTTCCAAAAAATCCAACAATGACATGAATGTCGCTTTCCACACGCTGTACCAGAAAAGCATTCATTCAACAGATGCTCCATCACAAGGTACATTCAATCCAGGTGAGCTCTGGGGAGCTGCAGAAACGACATACACACAGGATACAAGGATTTGGGAACCCTGTGATTGGATTGTTGAAACAACAAATTCTAAACTACTTTCAAAAGAAGCAGCAAAAAGACTCTTTTCTGCTATGCATTTTTGGAATTAGATGAGTGGTTCAGACCTGCAATGGACACCAGCATTATTTGTGATGCTCAGTAAGAGCGTGAACACAGCCCCACCGAAAGCTCCCTGTTCAGAACATCGAGGGACCCAGCAGTTCTGAAGTACTCTCCAGGCCAAGAACCCTTTATTTTTAAAGGAGATAAAACAACGTTAAAAGCACTTCAGTGCCAATGCAGATGCTTCTTACTAAAAGACACTCAAAAAAATGAAAGTATAGCTAATACAATAGAACATGGAATATTATAAAATTCCATCAAAGTCTTAGAAAGTTCTCAGTAAAATACAATGTGAAAATACAATGGCGTGAGAAAGAGCACTGTGCGGGCACTGAGCTCAGCCCGGTGAGGCCTGACACTACTCAGTGTGACATGCATGGGAAAGGCTGCCCAAGACTGGGAACGCTTGTTACCACTTCTAATGTTAAACAAACTAACCTTTGACTAAAGCCTGTCAAACTAATACAGCATGATTCTAGCATCACAAAAACTCAATCAGCCCAGGTGAGCCTTACTCTACCTACAGGGCTGGGCAGGCTGCTGAGTGCCCACACCCAGGACAGTGAGCACAGCAGTGCCTTGTTCACAGCACTGCTGAGGAGTAAACAAAAAGTGACACAACTGTAAGTCACTGTGGAAAGTTTTACTATTTATTTCAAAATCTAGTACAATCATAATGCGTTTGCTAACCCCCCCCCCAAAAAACCTAATATATACAAGCATTTAGTATTAAAATTTAGTCTTAATATTCAGTACTTAATTTTTTAAGTTCATGCAAATTGCTAGGACTATATATGGACATTTTCCTGAGTATGTAAATTGTTTCACATTTAACTTTGGAAAAAGTACACAATTGCAAAGGCGTCCCCCTCTGCAAGGATTTACCATCAAAATGCTTTGTCACCTGGGGACAACACTGGACCTTTCTGGCTCTCACCCGCTCCCTTTCCTCAAAATTCTCCTGGTAGCAGAGGCTTTGACCATGTCCTCTTGAGGCCCCTTCCAGCCACAAGGTCTGTGGTTCGCCATAACTCACAAACTTTGTTTGGCCCCTGCTGCCTTGCAAGAAAACAGTGTGCTTACATTACTTAGCAGATGGAAATAAATATTTTATCATTCTGGAGAAAATACTCAAAGTTGGGGTCATCCTGAAAAGAAATCCCAAAGGTTATTGTTTATGGGTTAATTCATCCACCTTAGAGCCAGCGTTTACTCAGACAAGCAAGCAAAGCGCACGGGGGGTGGAATCAACTAACACAAGTTCTGCAGCCTACAAAGCAATGTACTAGCGTCCAGCTAGTCACTTCGGCGCATCTAGGATAAAAAAAAGTCCTACGTTCCCAAGTAAGTCAAAACTGTCACTTGAAAAAAAAAAAACAGCTAAGGAAAACCTATCTAAGATTCACAAGATCAAGAGACGTTAAATAGTCGTAAGTTTTATGCATAAAGCAAACATTTATCCATCTTAAAAGTACTTTATATGCCTTATGATCTTGGAAAGGTGGCTTTCCAGGTCCTCGACGGGCCACGTCCACAGTTCCAAATCCAGAGGGCTGGCCTTGACGTTCACGGAAAGCTTCAAGCAGATGGGGTTGGAGGATTTCAGCACTTTACCCGCTGTTGCCAGGAGCTGGCGCCTCCGCGCACTGAAACCCTCCATGAAAGCCCCATCTGTCCCGAGCCGCGCACCGGGGAACTCCCACCACGGGCCACCCACTTCCGACCTCCGGGCGCCCGGCCGCGCCGCGACCCCGCCCCTCCGCCCCTCCGCTGGCGCC